CCTGTGAAAGGCTAGACTGAATGTCTCTGCCATTTCAAGACTAGTAAGAGATTTCCCATCAGAACCCACTATATTGCAAGCTCCCTGGTTGGTCGGTTTTCTTTCAGACATAAACCTGTATAGGCTTTTGGGGTTCACGAGAAGCTTATTGGCGAGGTTTCTCTGAAATGTCCTTCTATCACTCCGGACTCGTATGTTACACCGATTCCTGAGTTCGAGGTACTCTTCATGTTCGGGTTGACTCTGCGATACTCGCCACGCAAACCAGGCTTTTCGCTTCGCCTGTAGAAGGCGTTGTGTCCCCCTTTTTAGCCATGAACGTTGCTTTCTAGCTTTAGGTGTGACCAAAGGAACAGTGTCTGAGATCGCCTGGTGAATGATCTCCTTTACCACTCTCCAGTGTTCTTCTACTGTAAGCTCTGTCCAATTTTTTGGCCAATTTGCTTCAGACAAAAGTCTTCGCATTTCGGCATAATTGGCTTTGTTATAACACAGATAGGGCTGTGTATTGTCCCACTGTAAACGCTCGCGGAGGACTATGTCGAATGTTATGACCGCATGGTCACTACTACCTATGGGAGTCGTGATCTGAACGTTTTCCACTAGTAGCTGGTCACTAGTGAGCACGTAATCCAGTCTAGAAGACTTCCCATCTGGGCCCCATCTAGTATCCATTCTGACATTTTCGGTGAATCCGGCCTCCGTGATGGTATGCAGCAGATTTCGATCAAATCTGTCCTGGGCACATCCCGTCATCAAGTTAAGAGATGGGGCATTGAAGTCTCCAGCTATGACAATTTGATCATAACCCAGGTCATGTGTCGCTGAAATTGCATTCAGCAGTACCTGGTTGTGGTCTGCTCCACATGAAGGTGATCTGTAAATGCTGCCCACTAGATACTTACAGTACCCAACGGTGAAATGGCACCATATGGAGTCAGGGAGCTCAATGAGGGGAGGGTCGATTGCATGGACACATCTGAGCTGTTTGTCGACGTATATGGCGACTCCACCTCCTTCTTTCAGATCCCTATCTCGCCTGACAAGGACCATATCATTTATACTGACTTCGCTGTCTGCCACCGTAGGGGTTAGCCAGGTTTCCGTCAGTATTATGATTTTGGAGTTCAGCTGTGATTGTAGGTATCTAAGTTCAGCTATTTTGCCTCTTAGACCTCTCACATTACTGTACAGGCAACTGGTAGTCAGTCTCACCACGTCCCCGTATTGGGGGGTGGTTGACGTGATGTGGGCTGTCGGTTGAGGAGTTATCCTACGAACTAGTTGGCCGATTCCCCGGGAACCGGCCTGTTGGAGTTTTTTTCTTCTGATTCAATCGGAGCACTTGGATGGCACTGGCTATCATCGTCCGTGCTGCACCGCTGTATTGTGACTAGGGGTTGGGGATGTTCTATGACAACGTTTTGCTCTCTCCTTTGGGTACGAGGCCGGCTCTCGCAGCAGCGAATGTGTCTGCTGACCTTGTCTTTGGTCTCGTACCATCTCTGGAGAGCAGTAGTCAAGTGGTCTCGGGAGCTAAACTTAACAGCTAACAGATGTGGGGTGTTAATTGACATTAGGTGAGTGGGTCGAGGCAGTCTAAAAATAGAGACAGCCCCTGAACTTCCCAGACCCATCTGGGATGCCAACCATCTCCATTGCTGGACATCGTGACAGTGCTTCTCACAAGCGTTCCCAGTTTCCAGTTCAGGAATGCCGTGAACAACCATGGAGGCAGAAGGAATAAGCTCTGGCGACTCCCTCGCCATCTGTCTTTCCTTCCATGGCCTATCTGGCCTAACACGTATATTGCAGGTCCTCCCTATAGAAAGGACTTGGGAAGTCAATAAAACTTTTTCGGCATCTTCGGCAGAGCCTAGTGTTACCCTCAGTGGGGATGGTTTGCCTTGAGGAGCAGCAGTGCCCTTATACAGTCTGCACAGTTTTACTGGTTGAATGTCCATACCCAGTGTGCTACATAAGTTGGACCACTGTTCCTGATCAAACAGGGCCCTGTTTTCCAGCAGACTACTGCTACAGTCTGGTACATTAAAGAGGATAACGCAGTTTGATCGACTGACCGTGGATTTAGGTTCGGTCCTCGCACATTTGTCATCCCCCTTAAGACCGTTTTGTTTCATCTGGTGCAACTGGGTATTATTATGTGTCGCAGTGCTGTGGCCACTTTTACTGGTGGACGGTAAAGGTCTTTTCCCGGCGACAGGTACCCTTGGTGCTTCAACCTCTGTGTCTGGGGCAGTTATGGCAGGAATTGCAAGTATAACCGGTGTGGATTTTGGTATCCCCGATTTACATGCAATTGTGCTGTTTTCTGAGTTGGTGGGAGTGAAACGTTTCACGTTTTTTCCTGATATCTCTATGACATCTGTAGCTTTCGAGGAACTACACGAGGCTGCATTAGGACGGCAACTTGGGCAAATGTACCAGAACCATGGGCATGGGTTCTTACGCATAAAATCGTAATATACCTTTGGTACCCCGGTGTCACATCTACAATGTACCCATTGCTTACAAAAGTTACATTCGAAAGCAGAATCTGCTTGTTCGACAATAGAATTGCAGACCTTGCAATCGTCTGCCTTCTTGGGGAACGTTTTCGTCGTCTTGCGACGTCGTGAACGTTTCTTATTGGCCTTCCTGTTTGTTTCAAGGCCTACTGTGGATATAGGTGTCATACTATTCACCTGTTTGCTTAGTTTGGCTGAAGCTCTGGTGACTACGGTGCATGGTCTCCCATTACTTATCTTGGGATGAGAATCTATAGTCATTTTACTCCTAAAATAATACCGATGATTAAATGATAAGAGAGAGTGGAGTTTTGTCCAATAGACTGACAGCAAAAGACAGTAGAAAGCACAGAACAGAAAGATAAAGTATATAAGTAAAAGCTTTTGACTTTACCTGTAACTTTCGGGTTATTCGGCTTCACAACAATCACGTAACAGACCAACAAGTCCTGTATATTTGAAAGAGTGAGGGGGATGTTGCTACAGAAGTAGCACCTGAAGCTTGGGCAGTAGTTCGAGACAGTGGGAAGTACCAAACACAGGCTCGGTGAAGAAGAAATGGTTGAATAAAATTCGCCGGATAGGAAGATCAGGTTTCCCAAACGAATTATTCACAAAAGTGGATATTTCCTGTTAGACGGAAAAATGCACGTCGTATTCAAGGAGCGCGCGTATCCAAATAGTTCTACAAACACCCTGGGGTATACTTTTCCCTATTTTATTATCATAATCACAACGGTCTGGAATACGACTTCCCTTTGTCTTTCATGAAAGTTAAACTGAAAGCATTTCTTATATGTTTTCAATGGTTTAAATTGATGTGAACTGTATCAAAGTCATCACCAGTGAATATCTGCATCAGAATGTAGACTCAGAAAGTAGGCGCAATGAACTTTCATTATGTCATATCTAAAATATTCAAAGGCCTCACTGATATACTGCAGTCAATTAAATAACGTTAACATATTTACTCGGTAATATACATGTAAAACCTGGGCACTGCGATAGTAAGTGATTCCATATTAGTTTGTTTATGAGATGCATCACACAGTGAAACAGTATTGCCATTTACTGGATGACGTTTCGAACATAAATTTATTACTGTTCACAATTATATCAACGAAGTATAATCACACGACTTCGAAACTTGAGTTTTATAGTTTTCTTTATTCTTTCCTATTTGTCGTAGGGGTTGTACGATTTTCTAAGTGTCTAGTTTGGACAGGTGTTGGATCATTCCTATTACACGTGTGTGCACTTGATCCGATAAATTAAAGCTTCCGTTATCAATCTCTCCCTCCACAATGATTATCAGGTCAAATACACAGGTCAAAGTAGTAGAACAGATGCATTCAGAGTAGCTGATCATAAAAACCTAACAAAATCTAGATTAGAATTAGATCAGAAATTTTGCGAATAGTTCAGCTATATCACTGACTACATGCAATTGCACACAACCATAAAATAGAATGGGATGGGATGAGATGAGAATTCTAAAATCTGATGTAACAGGGTGGAGGGAGGGATTGTTAATTGAAGCTTTGTTCATCGAATTAACTGCAAACACGTGTAATCGGAATGATTTAGCACCTGTCCAGCCGGACATCTAGAAAATCTTACTAACCCTACGACGACGAATAGGAGAGGACAAAGAAAACTATAAAACCCAAGTTTCGAAGGTGTGTGATTATAATTGATTGGTATGATTATGAACAATAAATTGTGTTCAAAACATTGTCATCCAGTAAATAGCAATACTGATTCACTGTGTAATACATCTAATAGACAGTCTAATATGGTGTTCGCTTGTATTCACAGTGGACAATTGATGTGGTGATTCCTTGAAGTATATGTTGGAAAACCTTTTTTTAAACCAAAGCGGTCTCATCCCAAAATTAGCAACGAAATACATCATCTGCAAATCTGTCAGTCAGATATCTTATGACTGCACTGCTCAAGGATTTACTTCCTCTTCTTCATTTCAAACACTGGTATGTGTTCAGAAACTCTTGGATAGGCCCTTCTCTTTACTGTTTCAGTATATCGTCTGTCGTAGCTACAAGTTAATTGATATGTCCAGCTGGAGCTAACAAAAGAAGGTTATCTTTCGACTTTTAATTGACTAATCCAACATGTTATTTGGTACAGAGAATCTTCTAACAAGTGAATTCTTCAGTCATCTGTTGGTCATCGCTGGAATGTCGTCACCTTCAAAGTCAATACAGGTGATTTGTTCACTGTAGCCCGCCTTATTCTAACAAAATCTAGCCATTCATCTTGGAGGAAGATCGTTGTTTCGTAGACATTTTTCCAGGATTTGCAGCTCCTCCGACAATTTGTCACTGGAGAGTATTATTCTCGCCCCGGTGAAATAGTGTTCTGACTAATGTCGGTTTGTAATTAATCAGACGCATTTTTCTTTAATGTCCATACACTCTGAGTACCACAACTTCAGACAAATAAACTCAGGTATTTAATAGGAAGCAAATTCGTATTTATTTATAAGTGAAAAAGTTACTTAGATATTACACTTTAGTAAATAACATTTATAGTTAAAACAGTGAGCAGTCATGTCAATTAAAGCATTCAGCACCATAAATCGATGAAGCTTCAAAGGTTTGAGTTTATCCGTCTAAAAATGAAGGAAACAAAAACAGTGGGAAAATCAAAACAGACAGTTATAAAATTTATCTATAAAACTGCTCCGTGAACTGACTCTCTTATCCATCATGTTAACATACTTGGTTAAACAATCAAGAGTTTAGAAATCCTGATTTGTTCAAATTTGTCAATGAATATGGTGAGTATTCACGACTCGGATGTCTTAGAGAGTAAATACAACCACCATCTGGAAGGTTGAATCAATAAGTGGCTGCATTCTTACTTTTGTGATAGGAAATAATACCCAGTTTACAATGGAAAGTCCTTTACCGCTTCCCCTACTCCAGCCGATGTTCCTTAGTGGTGCTGTTCTTTCGCCTTTTATGTTCTCTTACTTCTTATATAACTAGTCGCATTCTGATGAGGTAAGTTTTATTAAGTGCGCCAATGATCCAACTGTTCCTGCGCGGATTAAGTCTCAGTCATATTGTTCTGAAATGAATAACGTTCCATCAGAGGTTAGTCAGTGACCCTTATCAGTTGGTCTTCAGGTAAATCTCTTCTGTTGTTGAGTTGTTAATTTCACTTTTAGACATAAGCATGGTTTAGAAGAGGTGGTCGACTGCCATGATTCTTGTGTCATAGAAGGCATTGAAATTGAAACTGGAGTGAATGTTTAATACCCTGGATTGTGTATTTCCTCACATCTTCCCAGGCCTTAACACAACATATTAGTGACTAGAAAGATTGTTCATTTAACATTCTGCACGGAGAAGTCAAGACATTCAGGTGTCACTCAGCCTGGAATTTTACAATTTCTTAATTCTTGTATTCTACCTATTATTCCTTATTTCTCCCGTGTAATCTTTTCCACGCTCCTAATTAAATGACTTTATTGCATTGCGAAGTGAGCCCAAAGCTGTCAGCGAGTGAGTGGGCTGCCGGTAAACCAACTCGTTAGTGCTTTTGTAGACAAACCGGGAGTTGAGCGTGTGGCCGAGCATTTATGTGCAAGCATGGACCCAGCTTAAGAGGACAGCAGAAAATAGAACAAAGGAGAGGTGTATTGGTGAAGTGGTATATTCCATTTGGAATTGAAGGGAACAATAATCATAATAACCAGGTCAAAGGGTAATAAATGATGTTGAACCTCGTCTTTGTTTTACTTCAACTCCTGTTATTAGACACCAACATTTTGTGTATTTCTTTTATCTTAACATTATCTTATACTACTGATAACAACTGTCTTAAGTCCAAATGTACTTAATCTTCCTATGATCTGTTTTTCGCAAGTATATTGAACTTCATCAGTAGTAATTCCATACAAGGAAGGAACCTCGGAAGCCTTATGCAGAATTCTTAACAAGGTAGGAATAAAAACGGCATTCAAACCCACAAGCTCAGTTAGAAACAAGCTTCGTTGGTTAAAGGATCCTGTAGAGCCTTTAAAACAAAACAATTTAGTTTATCTAATACCCTGCCTGCGATGATTGTCAGGTCAAATACATAGGTCAAACTAGTAGAACAGGGGCAGTCAGACTAGCTGAACATAAAAACTTAGCAAAATCCAGATTGGATGACCTGAATAAGATAAGAAACCTAGAGAATAGTTCAGCTATAGCACTACATGCAGTCACACACAACCATACAATAGGATGGGATAGGATGACAGTTGTAAAATTTAATGTCACAGGGTATAGGGAGAGAATGATAACAGAAGCTTTGTTTATTGAATCAACTACAAATACATGTAATAGGAATGATTCATCACCTGTCCCAGATATCTGGAAAAGTCTGCTACCCCAACGACCACAAAATGGAGAAAACAAAGAAAACTATATAACTCAAGTTTCGAAGTCGTGTGATCACAATTGATATGATTATGAACAATAAATTTTGTTCGAAAGTCGTCATCCAGTAAATAATACTGTTTCACTGTGTGATATACCTAATAAACAAACTAATATAGAATTCCAGACTCTGCAACCTGCACTGTTGCCTCGCAACTGATCAAAGAGATAATATTGATTCTAAGTTTATGACTTGTCTCAAAATGTCCGAAGAGAATAACATTGTTTGTGTCATTATCTTTATCATACTAATGCATTTTAGAGTAATATTTTAATAAATAACTTACGTCGATTCCCCTTGGTAACACCACCGAACACCTGAAATCCAATTTAAATTGTTTTTAATAGAATGTAGTATAAAATAGCCGACTTCAAGTTTAACACAGATCAGATTTATTTTTGCATCAAGCTGCATACTACTGATTATCTGAGCTGAGCCCTTGTATACTACTCATATCAAATAATAGTAGTCAGTGGCCAGCCAAATCGATGTAATCGGAACACCGGATCACCGTTTTGATTGTTTGCGGCCAGACTTATTATCCATGTACTCGGTTTAACTTAGTTTTAGAGAGGAGAATCGTTTGAAAGCACCGAATTCCTTGTGTTATATCGCTTTTATATAGGCCATAAACATGTTTTTGATTTCAGAGTAGTTCCCTCAAAATCACAGACTTAGTTCTCCTATTGTCAATACTGGAAAATGCTTTTTTATTAGTCTCGAGTTTTGTTAACATCCAACGAGTTCAAATTTTCTTCGTTTTAGTGATATTACATTCAAAAATTTCTCCAGCCACACATGGAATTCGGATGCAAGAAGTGAAACCTTCCGGAAATGCAGATAAACTTGCGTGCTGATATTATTATTGTTGTTTCCTTTAGTTCCTAGACGAACATTGGGCTTCAGAGCATGTCTCAATTGCTTTCGGTTCACTGCCAATGTTTCCATGTAGCTCTGCATCTGCCCATCCACTTTCATCTCCTCTTTACGTGACCTCCTCTATGTCATCCTCGCACTGACGACAAACTCGTCTTTTCCCATTCGAGTACCAATCGAGCCATGGGCTGTCTTGTGGTGTCACTTGATGAAATTTTTAGAGTATGGCCAATATATCTCGATTTCTTCCTGCCTATTTGTTGCAAAGTCGGCTCCTGTTGGGTTGGTTCTCTCTGAGAGGACCCTCACTATTGCTGATCTTTTCTCGTACGCCATCTGGTCTTGAGCAGTATTGAGCGAAGACAGCTGTTGATGAAGATGTGTAGTTTGTTCGAAGTGGTCTTCATAACGCGCCAAGTCTCTCCTCCATAAAGTAGCACTGACTTCACATTAGAGTTGAAAATCCGGATCTCATTTTCATTTTCATGCTGGGTGCCGTTGATCTCCTCCACACAGACTTCACAGTAATGAAAGCTTGACTTGCTTGCTTTTATATCTTCGTCAGTTCCGTCCACCTGTGGTTGAAACAATGCTCCCCAGGTTGGTAGGTAGGTAAATGCGGTTGGTTCTTTCCGATTTCTCCATCTTATGCTGATTGCTGTCTGTTGTTGCTACTGTTGCCATTTCTGTTGGCCAGGAATCTTCATCACCAGCAATATTCATATGCAGTTGAACAGTTTTTACTATTATTTTGAGAAGAGAGTAAGTAAAGCGACTTGTGTGATTTGTAAGCCGTAAAGCTCCCATTTTCACAATCTTTTCAGTTGCCTAATTGGTCTTGAAACGTATTTTGCTCACTGATAACTACTCAATATACATAAAACTCAGAATTTATGCATTATTTTTGTCACAAAAGTAGCATCAGTTATTCTCAGATTTCTAGATTCTTCAGGCGACTGCTTTCTTAGAAGCAACCATAACGTAATTGCCCAGCTTTATTCTCTTGCACTGAAGTTTTTGTGTACAGCCGTTAATAATACCCTAGAATTTGAACTTAGATGTAATGAATTTTTACATTTTGTACTACATATTTATAAACAAATGCGAAGAACAGTGCGAAAGAAAGTTGGTTATCTCATGTATCCCCCAGGATTCACTCTGTTTACTCAACAGAGTCTAATTGGCCCTCCATACTTCAAGCAATTCAGTTAATTCATTATTCTCAGACTCCCTCTGATTTCAACTAATCATATAACGCCTGTTCCTGTTTCAGATTTTCCAGGTAATGACTGTGATTTATCTAGTCAAAACCCAATTGTGATAAGAACATAAATCAAATATTTTCTCACATGGCATTAATCCACCATTTTCTGAAATTTTATAAGGGCATTCAGCGAAAATTTGTGTTTTAGTAAGCAAATATACTGTAATCAACACACAAATTGTAAACACCATTCTATTATAAACTTGAGGTGAGAGGAATCCGAATAAAGTAGTATTCGTCTTATGACTTATCGTGTGACTCATCCTATGATTATCCAATCATAGAATTTCATTACTTTTTTGTCACATTGGTCAGGAAGTACTGGATAGTTGTTTTGTTTTAATTGAGAACTCTTCATAAGTACGCACCCACCACCTGGTACGAACTCAGAATCTTCTGGATACAAGGCGAGCTCGTAGACTATTAAGCTACTGGGATCCAATCTACTGGATCATGGATTTCAACTTCTGTCAGTTCATGACATAGTGCAATCGCTAGCCAATGTCTTTAATGGCGAGTATTCGTCCTCAGACCCCACCTGCTGTACCCTACTGGTAATGACTTCCTATGGAACCTCAGGAAACCGCCTAACTCAATAGGGCCTGAACAGCGTGGAAGCCGGAATTCATGGGTCAGTGGATCGGTTCATACTGTCTTAATGGTGTACGAGCTCGCCAAGTAACCAGAAAGTCCTGTATTTGAAACTCAGTGGATGTGTACTACTGAATAGTGCCAAACTAAGCTGATGAAACAGCTGTCCAATACTACCTGGGAGGTTTTCAGATGGTCCTCTAACCAAAGTCAGCTCATGATGAAATCCTGTAACCAATTAGTCAAATCCCTACAAACCAATACTTAGAGATTGTACCAATTAGAGACAGGTTTATACAAAATTGGCAAAAAATATTTTATACATGAGGTGAGAAACTCTAACCCGATATCAAAACACCAGTGAGTTTTATTCATTCTGAGATGGAAAGAATTTCTTTCCTTTTCACAGAATAAGAAACATGACCTGAATTTGCATCACTGATACCAAATCACTGCTTGTGTTTGATTCACAGAATTAATACGTGCGTCATTAAAATCATCTCCAACAGGTTGTGTACTTTCCGCAGCATCTACTACTTTCGCTCAATAATGAAGGCCAGATCGCGGCTAGAAGAAGCTCTGGAAACAAACTAATCAACATGTTACCGCCTAACAAAGCAGTGCGAAGACCGTTGAGCGACATGTCCACAGCTGCAACTGATTGGAAAGTGTCAATTTAGGCTTCCTAGAATAACACGGTGCATCATGTGTAGTGAGCAAGTAAAAAGCTCATGGATCCAGTTGTAAGCATTGATAAAGAAGTTAATGCAATCGATATGTCATGAAAAAGGTTCTTTTTGGCGATTTTATTCTCAAAAGATGTTGAATCACAGTTTGCATGCATAAGTTAGCACATATATACTTTCTCTCTATTCCTTTACTTTTCCAGTGGAACATAATTTTTAATTTTTAATTAATTTTGATTACAGCTTGATGCCACACCGTATTTTTAGGTACAAGTATGGAATTTTCAGCATGGATATCGGTAGCCCAAATTTTGCAGGCCGACCAGAGATATCAGGTGTGCGCCGGCAGGCCTTCATGCTACGGCTTCGGAGTTTCGGTAGCAGTGGTGTTTATTATTAAGGGATGGGGTTGCTGGCCTCATGACCAAACTTTCCTCTTTATCGATCAAATTACGGACTTAATGATTCAAAGGTGTGCATAGGTGGTGAATCGAACTTCGAAACACATGCTTGAATGGTAAGCATTCAACCTCTTTGCCATAGACGCTAGCATGTAAGCATCCGATATTAAATATGATATGACAGCGAAAGGTAGGCTTCAAGCGGCAGCCGTTACCGCAACTACGCTCCAGAGTTTTCTGTTCAAAAGAAAGTGATTTCACCTCCGCATCTAAAATGGTCCTTGCCTTCTAAGGCTCAGTTTTCTGTAATATTTTTCATTCCGGCCATATATATATGTTTTCATCTTCAGTCATAAAATAGCACTTCAGTCGGTTTTCATGCACATCCTGACCACATCCATCTTTTGCATAAAAATTGGATTACACTCTACTCAGCTGTCGTCCTATCCTACATTGCCTTAGTTTCCATTCCCCTTTTGATTTATATTCATCTCATATTACGCCCGTGAAATTTGATATTAAGTTGAAGGCTATTATCTCCTTTGAATCTCACAGTCGTCGGATGAGATATTAATCGCAACAACGCTATTTGCATAAATTATGATAGGCCTCAGAGCTTTTGCGAAAAAAAATCTCTGAGAAAGATGTTACAACATCCTGACTAAAATAAATGAATCTCTGTGTGAAGTATTTGTGTCATCCAAAAGAAACTGTGCAGTAAGATATTGACTACTTACAGAACTCTCACCAAACATGCGCAACACTACGAACCTACTGTCTGACTGGCTGAAATGATTAGTTGTATACTGCCTACATCAATCAGGAGTGCTCTGTAGCCAGCCAGACCGAAGTGATCTATACACCGAACTGGGTTTTCGCCAGTTTGGAACTGAGCTTGTCGCCAGTGTAGCCGGTTTGACTCAGGCCAGACAAAAAAATCAGATTATATCCTCGAATGTGCTGACAATAAACACTCAACAAATAAATGCAAATATGTTCGTTCTTTCTCTCTTCAAATGTAAATAAATTATCTGTCTTACTGTGTAGCCATGAAGGTGTCGCAAACTTTTCTTGAAGCAGAAAAATGACTCTCTACCTCTTTATATCCTTTTTGGTACTTAGAGACGTCTAATATTCATATCAGTAGCGGCGTGTATAAACGTATTACTCATTCTGTTCAGGTATCAATAATAAAGTAATAGAAGTTCGATAAATGTTTGTTTTTTTAAGGGTGTTTTAATGCGAGTATACGACTTACCACAATCTCTACCAGTTGTATCTGGTTTTTCCACTGAAAATATTTCAAAATGTATTAAAAACTCATATTATCATGAGTTTACACTCAGTAATAATAATAATAATAATAGTAATAGTGACAGGTTTATTCTGAACGGGGTTAATGTAATGTACAGAATTTTCAGTGGAGTTTATTACAGTGATATTTTCTCTTTGTCCAGAATCTTCAAATAGGAGATATGTTCGAGTTATACAACTGACGGGGAACTGGAGCGACTCAGACAGGTTCTCATAGAGAATTGATATCCCCCAAGAAATATCGAGAAAAACATGAAGTTAAAGCAAAAGCTTGAAAGAACCCAGACTGTGGTGCCGAAGAAACTGCTGTTTATCAGCGTTGAATTTAAAGGTGATACCGCAGATGAGATCCTGAAGAATCGAGTATGCAGATCACTGAAGAAAGCCATCTTTATGGCTGAGCTACTGATCAATTTCTACAGCCGACAAATGATCAAAGGATGTGTGAAGGATAAACTACCACTTTAGACTGGCCACTTTAATGTGTGTTTATAAATGCACCTGCACCTTTGAATCTCGTTATATTGGACGCACAAAGCACACACTTTCCAAGCACATATCTGAATATTATCCAGCATGGTTAGCAAAAAGATAATGCAAGACAGTTACTAGCTCAATTCTCAAGCACTTGGTGAGTTCAAGCCACGCAGGTCCACCACAGTCGCCTTTCAAAATTATATACAAGTTGAGGCCAAATGGTACAAAGTGCGTCAGGTTTCGGCTTTTGTGTATGGCAGAGGCACTGGTAATTTGTCAACACAACCCCGAGCTCTGTTTACAGAAAACATTTTTCCAGTCTTTTATTCTACCTTGGTCTTAACCTCTTATTTTTAATTTTCAATTTCACTTTTAGTTTGCCTTCACTTTAAAAATTAATTCAATATTATCAGCCTCATATGTTCCTTCTGTACATTTTCACAACTTCTTCACACTTGTCAAATTGACACTCACTCAATAGCAATTTTTTAAATCTTACCAAATTTCTAACTTTGTGCCGTTGAGTACCAAGTAATTTCCAACTTTTATTTTTACTTTTGAAGCCACTTCTGAGTAATTATATCAATTATGTCACCCTTTGTTACTCAAAAATAGACTACTATACGTGTTTTTCATAAATATAAATACGACTGCACAGCCTCTGAAGATGGTTTCGTCGATAAAGAAAATTTTCTTCGTTGATGAATTTGTCTTTTAGTTTCTTCAAGACAGCAGATTGTCAAACACAGTTTTTTCTGACCTGAAGCAGAAACCAATCCACCATTATGATATTTCTTCTGCCTCTACTTCAAGAAATACACGACGACATTTTGTTGGATACCAACTGTAAATCGTTCAGGGGTACATTTTGTGAGCCAAAAACACTACTCAGGAATGATTATCTCATGTGCTATGATGGAGCAGAATGCTTTCACTCATGTTTAATAGAAATTTACGAAACCATAGGTTGTGAATGTTTTAAATACCCGCCAGAGTAAACTATAATATTTTACTAGATTTAAACAAAATGAATTAGAAATCTACATACACTATATTTATGGAAGCTTTCTGTAGCGCAGGTTTTAAGCAGGTCACCCACTTTATATCTACTGATGTATTACTGACAAGATTATAAGAATTAAATTGAAATACTTCAAAAGTATGTTTAACATAAGTCATGATATTTGAGCATAATAACATCGGAGAGTTACAAAATGCATATGTACATATAATGACACTTACTACAGCCGACCCTAGGTTGATCTGAAATTATTTGGAAAAGTGCATTCGTGTACATAAAGTATAGGAGTGAGATATCTGCAGAACTATTTCAGGGTTGAAGGTCAAATTAACGAGATTACGATTAGAGATTTAAATTGATTCATAAGAGAATAAACAGAAAGATGGGATCAAAAAAATGGTAGGATCACAAGTATTTAAATAATCGTCTTTCTGTGCAATTAGGAATTCAAAACGTAGTAATAACAAAGTAGACAGGAATTTCAGATGAAAAAAAATATTGTAATGGCAGTAGAGATTAGAAAGACGTCATGATAACAGTAATAAACAAGAAACTTTATAGGATAATCAATATTGACAGAAAAGACTGTTTGTGATTGCCATAGTAACGATAAAAGTTGGACGTATTTGTACTGAATACATAGTATAGCCTTGAACGTTAGGGCCTCAGATATGCACAGATGCTTTGATCTCACTCCCTTTTGAGAGATTTGATTAGGTCTTGTATAGGCCTTGGAAGGATGTTTCAAATGGAGCTGAATGTCCTGAGTTCACCGAATGTTTTATTAGCAAGCTATGTACAGACCTGTGTTCTTCGTTTTCAAGCCGGGTTGGATAGTGTCACAGAGTTTGTTCTAGAAGTTGACAAATGGTGAGGCTAATGAACTCAGCTCCACAGGAACAGGTGATCTAGTATGTGCATATTGAAGTGGAACAGTGTGAAAAAGAGTACTGCTAAAGCATACCACAGTTTAAATGAATATCACTAGGATACAATTGTAAAGGAAGCTTTTCCAACACCATAGGCTAAACATATGCTAGCATGAAATCAAGAAGATGCAGTTTTATACTTCAAAGCCTAATGCTTAAGTATGACTATTAAACAATATATACTGCCTCAAAGTAGCAAGATTTCATTATTATTATTTCCTTTAATTCCTAGAGGAACAAAGGGCTTCAGCCATACGTCTCCATTGCGCGTTCGGTTCTCCACCAACGTTTTCACTTTGCTCCACACGTCTGCCCACATGCTTTCATCTCCTGTACACATTACCTCCTCCATATCACACTCACACTGGCAACCAGCTCACCGCTTCCCGTTCGTGTTCCACTTGAGCGATGGCATGGCGTGTGACGTCATTTGATGGTTTCCTCAGAGTATGGCCAATACACCTGCATTTCTGCCTGCTTAATTGCACGATCAGCTCCTGATTGGTTCACTGCCAGAGATCCGCCCCTGTTGCTGATCTTTTCTGGCCGGCCATCTGATCTTCAGTAGTAATGAGCGAAGACAGCTGTTGATGAAGGTCTGTAGTTCGTTCGAAGTGCTCTTTATGACGTGGCACTAAGTCTCTGATCCGTATAGTAAGTGGCACTGACTTTACATTGGAGTTGAAAATCCGGATCTTATTTTCATTTTCATGCTGAGTGCAGTTAATGTTCTCCACACAGACTTGAGAGTAATGAAAGCTTGTCTTGCTTTCCCGATCCTTGCTTTGAAATCCTCGACTTTATCGTTGGAACTGATGAATTTACGTGTGTATGCTTTAAAATCACGATGAAATAAAGTGGTTCTCTAATTCTCCAGAAAAACTTAAAATATTAGGATGACCATTAAACACAGTATTCTTAGTTAATTAATTAAAGTATTGATCAGTTTAAATTGAAAGTGCTTTCATTTTTCCTTACGTGTTTTGGCGCAGTAAAATAAACCTGAAAATAAATCAATAAATAAAAATAAGCATCTCGTTCATAGAATGAGGATGCTCTGCTTAAACGAATTCCTTAGTGACGAGCTTAAGATTATTCACAGAATTACTTATTAAAAGTAGTTACCGAGATAAGTTCATTTAGAAAAATGACAGTTTAACACCAAAGCATGTCAGTAGGTTAATAGCTCCAAAAAATTTACCACTGTCCATAAAACTGCAATTCCTCGGTGATAACATCAACGAAATAGTAATACATCACCTAAAGAATACAGTTAACAGAACATTCAGCGTAGAAGAAGTTCGCCTGCAGAGGAACCAACTCAAAGCTGACTACTCAAAAAAATATGTAGGAGAATCTGGAAATGGATCGAGCAAACACACTGGCGAGATTGTTGAATGACATCGCGCCCGGGAATGGATGAATTTCTCGTCGGTGTGAGGGTGACATGAAGGTGATCATGTGATGAAGAGATGAGGGATTATAAGGAATCATGGACCCAGGTGAAGAGGACAGCAGAAAAAAGAAGCAAATAGAGATGTATTGTTGAAGATGTATGTTCCACACAGAATCGAAAGGAGTAATAAAGAAATAATTAAACACAGAAGAACACATTGATTGGTTCCGTGAGTTCAGACCAGAATGATTACGGTCTGGTAATTACAAGCCGTTATATTTATTTGTTTAGATTTCAGTAGCATCAAGCAGACCACATAGTTGATCGGGATATTTTAACTCACAAAGAAAATATCCACTGAGTTATGAAGAAAATAAAAGACAAATTCATCAGCTAAGAAAATTTCTTTTATCGACGAAATCATCTTCACAGGCTGCCATTCAGTCGTATTTATATTTACCAAAAATGCATACTGGTCTATTATTGAGTAATAGGGGGTGACACAAGTGATATAGTTACTCAGAAGTGGCTTGAAGAGTGAAAATTATCAATTGTAAATTAGGTGGTACTCAATGGCACATAGAAAGAAACTTGATAAGGTTAAAATTGCTATTGAGTGAGATTAAAGGTAGTTTAGTACCAGTTTAACAATTGTGAAGAGGGTGTGAAATGTAGAGAAGGAACATATGAGAGTGATAATAGTGAATTAATTACTAAAGCAGAAGCATACTAAAAGTAGAATTGAAAATTAAAAAATCAAAAAACATTTTTTACACGGAACGATTAGCGAGAAGGTTAAGACCAAGATAGAACGAAAGACTGGACAAACATTTTCTGCACACAGAGTTCAGGGTTGTATTGATGAATTGCCAGTGCCTGCACCATACACAATAGCCGAAACCTGACGCCCTTTGTACCATTTGTAGATGAGCTTGAAAGATGACTCTGGTGGAGCTACGTGACCTGACGGCCTGGCACTGGCGATTCGTTAATACAGCCCTAAACTCTGTTCACACAAAAAGTTTCTGCCAGTCTCCTATTCTCCCTTGGTCTTAACCTCTTCACTAGTCATTCCCTGCAAAAACGGATTTTGACTTTTTCTTTTCCTTTTTAATTTTCCTTTTAGTTTGCTTCTGCTTTAATAATTAATTCACTATTATCACTCTCATATGTTCCTTTTGTACATTTTACACCCTCTTCAAACTTGTTAAATTGACACTCAACTACCACCTTTATTCTCACACACTCAATAGCAATTTTAACCTTATCAAATTTCTAACTTTGTGCCGTTGAATACCACGTAATTTACAACTTTTATTTTTACTTTTGAAGCCACTTCTGAGTAATTATATCAATTATGTCACCCTTTATTGCTCAATAATAGACCACTATAGATTTTTGGTAAGTATAAATATGACTGCGCAGCTTCTGAAGGAGATTTCGTCGAAAAAGAAAATTTTCTTCGCTGATGAATTTGTCTTTTATTTTCTTCACAAATAAAAACTCAGATGAATTCTACCTCAATGACTGAAATAAAGCAAACTGTAGTTTTATCGAAATTCACTCCAAAGTGAGAGAAAAACTATCTATTGATAGAAAAAAATAAAATAAAATTTCTTCCAATTTCAAGAATTTAATGAAATTATCTTCGATTTCCAGGTGTATAGATAACGGGAAATTCATAAATGTGCATAGAAGAAGCAGAATCAAGGTTCAGAAAAAGCGTTTTTGGTTTCAAGTATTAAATCGCTGGAAGTATTCACGGAGTTGACCTCAGGCTAAATAAACTATTGCATATAATTTCAATGGACCGTTGCACTATTTGCATAAATTTAAACCAACTAACCCTGTTGAAATCTCTTGTGGATTATAGATGCTCCAGTAACTTGAAACTATATACTTTCCCTAACAAGAGGAGATACCTCATCAAAAACTGTTATTATATAACCAAAAAAAAACAGAGTAAATTTATCATGAATGGAAAATGCACAAAAACTCACAACGAGGTAGAGATGCGGGTATATCTAAAGAAGTTTTCAAAAGTTTCAAAATTAACTAATGTAAGATTTTATTCATTATATTCTTATGGTTGAATGAGATGAATTCAAAGTGTAATGTTTGTAGACTACAAATTATGGTCAAGTAAAATACTTATGATATTATTAAATTAAAATAAGATATACTGTCACACATTAAAGTTTGACACTCAGACTGTGTTAGAATAAACCACAGAATGGCAGTCAAAACTCACTCTATCTCAACTTCCTCGACTTCGAAAAAGCCTTCACTAGACAGCGTTGACCGAGAAGTAATTTGGATACTATTTTAACACTACGGCGTATCTCAAGTCGTTGTCAACCTCATTCAACAGCCGGCTATATAACAGTGTCACGTGCCAGGTGATCCACAATGGTAAGCTCAGCGAGGCATTCTAAGTGCATACAGGAGTAAGACAAGACTACCCGCCTGTTATCAACGATGATATTCTAAATTTTGGTGGACTGCATTATGTGTTAGACTGTAGGGAGTGAGAAGACAGGAGTGCGTTGTACCACCAATGAAAAGACTCAATGAGTATCCGGATTTCGCATGTGGATGATGTATGTATAATGTCACATGCACTCGAAGACCTGCAAGTGAAAATCAACAGACTGTCAGAAGAGGCAGGCAGCGAAAACAGGACGCCAAGTGAACTCAGAGACGATGGAGATGATGAAGATAACCAACCGACAGCAGCAGCAAGAACAACCAGCACCAATCACCATCAACGGCAGAGATTTAACAAAGGTTACTTCATTCACTTGTCTCGGAAGCATCGTTTCAACTGCAATTGAGACGGATGAAGATGTCGAAGTCAGAATCAGAAAGGCAAGATATGCAATCATCAACCTGGAACCGATTTGGAAATTGTCTGCACTCAACACAAGGAACAAAATTTGGATTCCGTTCAACACAGATGTCAAGTTGGTCCTTCCATGCGTGTCATAAACTCGACCAGCGTGTAACGAAAAGAATATCCAACAGGTTGAAGACTTCCATCAACAGCTGACACCTTCGTTGCCTGGCTCCATACTGAAGATCAAATGGCCAGCCGGTCAGAAATCACAAGTAACAAGAAACTGTGGGAACAAACCAACCAAGAAACGACCGCTCAACAAATACGTAGGAGAAAATCGAGATTGATCGGGCATACATTGAAGAGACCGTTGAGTGACATCGCTCTTTATGCAGGCTTTCAGTTTTTGGGAACGAAACTTCCTTATAAAATGACATTCCATCTGATAATATAACTAACATCACTGTTACTATTTAAATAACCAGAGTACTGAGCTTACCATCAACGCAAACAGTTTTACCTTGAAAGCAGAAATGAAATCCTTCATTAGGAATTTGTGTATTTTAACATGCAGATGAGTATTGTGAATTAATTCTGCCTTCAATAATTGTCTTTTATTTGAAATGGTTATTGTTATTATTAATTATTGAGAATAATATTACTTATGAATTATTTCAGTAGTTTAATAATTCCCATTGTAGTATTAAGAACACAATATTCAGGGAAGAGACTCTTTTCAATAACGAATTTATTATCATGCTGTACAATCGAATATACATATATGGCTTTTTATATTGAGAAATTATACCCAGTGAGGGAATTGAATCATAGGTGTGAATGCATAAAATAATAATAGTAGTATGAAATGCACTTAAAATTAAAATGTTTGTGATTATAATCATAGTTAAATGTCAGGTGGCAAAAAAATTAATGTCATATTTACAATAATGCATAAGGTGTGTAGATGCTGGAAACGGGTGCATAGACACAGGATCAGTTGGCGAATATAAAGCCCTACATAACATGGTGTGAAATTTGATAAGACAAAATTTAATATTTAAAAATATCGCTCTTTACAACTCACCATAGAAAAGTAATCTTAACTAAGTATTCCGTTTCTTGATGCGTGTCTTAGTAGACGTAATGATGGATCTCTCGAAAGATCCATTCACTGGAAACGTACATGGAACAGACAACTAACTAATTTTCATAGTTGGGTGCCTATCTCCAGGAAAAGGAACCTAATTCATTCGTTCTGCTTTAGGATAAGAAACATTTGTAGTTCTGATTGTGTTGACTCAGAACTTGACTTCCTAAAAGTCACGCTTGCAGAATACGGTTATTTGAGCCAATTTATTGACATTAAAACGAAAGATAAGCAGTCTAAAATGGTCACCAACTCAGTTTCAAAGAAAACCTTATTCATGAACTTGGAATTCAAAGGTAATCAAGCTTCAGATATGCTCAAAATCCGTCTCCCTAAAGCAGTCAGTAAGACGTTCTTTGGAGAAAAATGCAAATGACGCTGTTCACCAGCCGCAAGTTGTTCTACATCTCTTTAAAAATAAGCTTCACCGTCTGGCCGCCTCCATGCGCATCTAACAGTTGACCTGCTATTGTGGAGCTAGGTATATTGGTCGTAGCCAGAGGACACTTTCCCCATGGATACGAGAACATATTCCAGCATGGTTTTACAAGGGAGAAAGGAAGTGTGTGCGAAGCTCTAATCTAGAACACCTGATCGACTTCTGTCACTCTGCTAACCCTGACCACGATTTTAAGATCATCTACCGAATCCATGCTAACTTCCCGCGTTTTCTTCGTTACAGACTTCTAAAGACAGCAGAGGCCTTGGTCATTCATGAATTTAAGCCAGACCTTTGTGTACAAAAGAAGTATGTACAATCCCTACTTCTGCCTTGGCTGTAGAGGGATAGACATTTATTTATTTTGTTTATTGAGTTAATCTATGTACCTTTCCCTTATTACTACGATTATTATTATTATTCTCACTCTAAATTCTTTTCGCTTTTCCCACTTGTCATTCTAAATCCAAAATTATTATTTTTTTTTGTTTTACAATATTGAATTCTATCTTATCAGATTTCACACCACGTTATGTAACATTTTATATTCGCTTACTAATCCTCTAATTATGCACCCAATTCCAACATTTATACACCTTATGTATTATTGTACAGATGACATTAATTGTTTTGCTACTTGACATTGAACTATGATTATAATCGCAAATATTTTAATTGCATTTCAGACTATTTTATTATTTCATGTGTTCATACCTTTGATCTAATTCCCTAACCGGATATAATTTCTTTAAAAAAACCATATATCTATATTTGATTGTACACCTTGATAATAAATTTGTTATTGAAAAGCGTCTCTTCGCTGAATATTGTGTTCTTAACTTATGGATCAACAATCAGTAGTATTAGTAATCAATATGAAAATTTTAATATTTCACTAAGTTTCAAGATTGTCAACAGAAATTTGCTACTGTCTAAACATTGGCTGATGGTCGCCCCATATTTCGCAAACCGACAGAAATTTCAATTCATCCAATGAGTCATCAGACTCCGTCCCAGTTGCTAAAGAATGGTCAACGTGGTTGCCTTGTAACGTTGAAATCTTGTTTTCAATCCATCGTAGTATCATGGGTGCGTACTGCTGAAGACCATGAGACATGGATGAAACAGTGGTTCTCCAGCTGTAGTTATTTCATGACCAAAGTTCCAATCAACCAAATCCCTGATAAGTAACCCTTGTGAATAGTAAATAAACTAGCGGGTACAGTGAAAGCAAACTGGATTTAAGTTCCCTATGTTAAACGTGATATACATTCACAAATGTTTGTATAACTGACATACATATAAAGCGACTGCCAGCTGTAAATAAAATGGTAACGTTATACAACTTTTATTCATTAAGTTTTACCAAAATAGAAATGTATAATAATAATTAAGCAAATTATTGCGAAAAACTGCCTACTCAATCTACATAAACCGTATCAAGAAAGTCCCAAGTGGTTATTTTTTTCTGTTAGAGACTGGAAACAGACGAGACTCTTCAGCTGACAAATCCAAATAAGGACTCAATGCACATCGTGGATTTCACTGTCCATAAAATTACTTCAAGTTATTTGCTAAGACGTCGTCGAATCGTCCATTATAACAGTTGATGCGTCAACAGACGCCAGAAATTTCAGATCAATCAAACTGGTACGCATTGCACAAAAGGTGGCTCTCATGGCCCATTCGGTCTACTCAGGAACTCAGGTACATCCAGATGATGAGTTCTCAAATGGAAAAAACATGCATCTCAGATTCCACGATTAGTCGCCATCTACCTGAAAAACTACTCCATGAAATGTTCAAAACTAGTTGTAAGTAGTTTATTGTAGATGGGAAGGGAAGTGAAATTTATTATTCAAAGTTTCTATTGGTGCAAAGGGAATATATAAATAATTCTTTCAAATCTCAAAGCTGATTTCATATGACTTTTATTCACTTGGACTGGTAACTTCCAAGTGACACCCCGTCCACAATTTAGCAGTTTGGATTACTTGAACAAATGCCACATGTTACCCTGATATCTAACTTAAAGTTACTTGCCCGGTAGTGGCTATTTTTCGTATTAGATGGTTGGAGGCGATCGGCCATAGGAAGGTCAACCTGACCTAGATTTCATACTAGCTGGAACTCATCAGTCAGCCAACAAGGCCTGCCTGAAACAGTGAAGGAGCTCGTGTCTCTTCTGAGATTTTTGTAACCGCGTCGCCTGGTGAGCGCTGCAGTCAGGGGCGACGTTACTGCCACTGAGCCATTCGGGTTGGCTCCCGACTAACCTCCTATATGATCGACTGTATTTGATACTTTTAATTGGACACTAGTCAGTAACTAGTGTAATGTGTCTAGTCCTATCTTCGGTGCAGACTGAATTCTATCAGTCACGTTTGCAGTGTGACCACCATGCCACTTGGTGGCTCAGCATCAAGGAGCACAGTGAATTGTTGATATTAAATGCTTAGAGGCAACCGTCAGGAAGCCTTGACTATTTTTAGATTATTCAATAGTTATTGACACACAATAGTAAAATTTCGAACAGGTTTACTGCCATCAGTAAAATCTAAAATGGGTGTTTCTAAATGTTTTCTTCTATTCTGCAGTATCCCAGAAGATGATGCTTTGATATTTTTGAAACAATGGATTGAAACACTATGGTTCACGGGGATGTGAAATCATCTAACTGATAAGTTTAAGAGACAGTGAAAGATACGTCGTTGACCCGTCTGCCAACCACCGTCAAGCGAATATCCCAAATTATTCAATAACTGATTAGGCTTTTGAACAAATTTTTTACATTGATTTAGAAAACTGAAGATCTTAAGATATTGAAGATTCACACACAAAAGTAATTTCGTTCCCACTTTCCTGACATACAGTGTGTTGCCAGACAATATGTCAGTATAATTCTTCATGGCTTTCTATGATGGCGATCATGTTTTCTTTCTAACGACAAGGCCTGACAGATGGCGAATACATCAAAGATAGTTGGGGGGTGAACACATACATAGTTAGAAATGAAGATTTGAACTGTGAAAATACTGTTTATTTAGCCAGTGTTGATTATTATTATTATTTCCTTTAATTCCTAGAGGAACATAGGGCTTCAGCCATGCGTCTCCATTGCGTTCGGTTCTCTGCTGTAGTTTTCACCTGGCTCCAAGTCTGCCCACACGCTTTCAATTCCTCTTCACATGATCTCCTCCAGGTCACCCTTGGACGACCAACTCGTCGCCTCCCTTTCGTGTTCCACTCGAGGGCTTGTCTAGTGATGTCACTTGCTGGTTTCCTCAGAGTGTGTCCAATCCATCTCCATTTCTTCCTGCCTATTTGTTTCACGATCGGTTCCTGGTCGGTTCGCTCCCAGAGATCTTTGTTGCTGATCCTCTCCAGCCATTTGATCTTGAGTATTGAGCGAAGGCATTTGTTAATGAAGGTCTGTAGCTTGTTTGAGCTGCTCTTTGTGACACGCCAAGTCTCTGATCCGTATAGTAGTACTGACTTCACATTGGAGTTGAAAATCCGGATCTTATTTTTGATGCTGAGTGCTGTTGACCTCCACACAGACTTGAGACTAGTGAAAGCTTTTCTTGCTTTTCCGATTCTTGCTTTGATATCCTCGTAAGTTCCGCCTGTAGTTGAAACGATGCTTCCCAGATAGATAGGTAAAAGAGGTTGTTTCTTTCAGGTCCCTCCCATTTATGCTGATTGTTGTCTGTTGTTGTTGTTGTTGCTGTTGGTGGTGTTGCCAGGGAATCTTCATCACCTCTGTTTTCTCTATGTTCACCTGAAGTCCTTCCTATGTTTGATGCTTCTTCTGCCAACTTGTTGCTTTTCGCTTGCATATCTTCCAGTTTGTGAGAAATCAGACATATATCATCGGCGAAGTCCAGATCCTCCAAGTTTGTCCTTGTGTGTGTCCATTTTATGCCTGTTTCCTCGCTGCCCGCTGTGTGTCGCATTATACAGTCTACTGCAATCAGGAAAATCATTGACGATAGTAGGCAGCCAGCTTGTCTTACTCCTGTCCTCACTTAGAAGGGTTCCGTAAGTTTCCCGTTGTGGATTACTTGGCATGCAGCAGTGTCGTACATCTGTTGGATGAAATGTATAATTGTCGGTGGGACATCATAGTAGCGAAGTAGTTGCCAAATCACCTTTCGATCAACGCCTTCTGCTGAAGGCTTTTTCAAAGTCGATGAAGTTGAGATAGAGAGGTGAATGCCATTCCAAACTTTGTTCAATGATAATCCGTAGGGTGGCGATTTGGTCAATGCATGACTTGTTCCTCCTGAATCCGGCCTGTTCCGGACGAAGTTTTTCATCTAGGGCTTGTTTAATTCTCTCCAGGATGATGCGACATAGTATCTTGCTTGGAATGGACAGAAGCATAATTCCACGCCAGTTTTTACATTGACTCAAATCTCCTTTCTTTGGCAGTTTGAATAAGTATCCGTTCTTCCAATCCTCGGGTACTTTGCCCTATTTCCACACCTTCTCTAGTAGTGGCGTCATCAAGTACGCTGTTGTCTCTGGGTCTATTTTCAAAGCTTCTGCTGGGATTCCATCTGGTCCTGGCGCTTTCCCAGTTTTAGCATCTTGATGGCATTCAGGACGTCGGATTTCGTCGGAGGGTCGATGTTCATTGGTAGTTCTGCTTCCGTTGTTGGTATTGTTGGACGCGTTGTAGGTGGCGGACGATTTAGAAGTCTTTTGAAGTGTTCAGCCCAGTGCTTCCTCTGTTCCACCTCTTTGGTGATTGACTTTCCATTGTCGTCCTTTATTGGCTTAATCTGTGTCGAACTTTTGCCCGAAAGGTGCCTAGTTGTTTGGTATAGTGTAGCGAGGTCTCCTTTGCCTGCAGCTTGTTCTGCTTCGTTTGCCATGGTTTCACAATATTTTCTTTTGTCTTCCCTGGCACTTTTCTTCACTCTTTTGTTCAGTGCATTGTAGCTTGCACTCAACTCCTGTTTCTGTTGCTCGTCGGTGCACTGGATAATCTTTTGTTTCGCCATCCTCCTCTCTTCTATTAGTTTCCAAGTGTCCGTAGAGAGCCACTGTTTGTCCTGTCTCTTTTTTCTGCCTAGAACTTCCATGCAGGTTTGACTCCACACCGTTTTCAATTTGTTCCAGTGCTTTTCGACGCTGACCTCTTCGCCAGTGTTGATTTGTGTCTCGGCTTCTTCCTTATGTTTGCAGTGAAGATGTCCTTTGTATCCTGGTCCTTCAGTTTTAGAGTGTTGAACTGGGCTTGTGGTCTATCTGCAGCTCCTGTTTCTCTGAAAGCCTTTAATTTGATTTGGATTGTCCCTTGTACGAGATAGTGGTCTGAGCTGACGTCTGCTCATCTTCTTCCTTTTGTGTCAAGTAAGCTGCGTCTCTACTTCCTTGAGCAGCATTCAGATGAAGTCGCTTTGGTTTTTGGTTTGCCCATCTGGTGACACCCATGTAGCCTTGTGGATATCCTTGTGTTTGTATACGCTGCTACAAATCACTAGTTCATTGAAGGCGCAGAAGTCGGTGAAGAGTTCTCCGTTTTCACTAATTCCTCCGAAAGCTTCTCTACCCATGATGAGTTCCCTTCCTGTGTTGTCTGGTCCCAGTTTGGCGTTCATATCTCCCATTAGTATTTTAATGTCACCAGCTGGAGTATTGTCTATTGCTGCCTGTAGTTGTCTGTAGAATTCTTCTTTCGTTTCGAGGTCTGCGTTGTTGGTGGGTGCATAACATTGGATTATTGACACTTTTCTTCCTTTGGAGTTGAATCTGGCGGTCATTATCCTGGACGAGATCGCTTCCCATTGCATCAGGGCTTTCGTTGCCGTTGGTGACATCATGATAGCCACGCCCTTGGTGTGCGTGTGGTTATCTTCTGGGTGACCGGAGTAGATCACTGACTCTCCCGTTGATAATTTGGTGAGTCCACTTCCATTCCATCTGCTTTCACATATTCCCGGCACTTGGATTCTGAATTTTTTCATCTCGCTGGCGATCTGGGCAGCTTTGCCAGTCTCTTACATAGTGCGGACATTCCATGTCCCCACACAGACTTTTTCTTTTGTCGCAAGGAGATTGCTCATGGTGAAGTTTCTGTAGCAGGTTTGTTTACAGGGTGGGGTTGCTGGCCTCACGCCTGAGTTTCGTCTTCGGGTACCTGGAATGGAAGAAAGGTTAGTGTTGCGTGACCGCAGAGCCCAGGGGACATCTGCTTGAGGCCGGTCACACGCGGCCTGGTGTGTCTCAGTAGTGTACTTATCACTTCTGCCCTGTGACACGGCAGCAGAAAGCGCGGTCGTTGTTAATCCGGGCCACGGCCGATCCGG